TGGGACTATTACCTTTAAATTCACTGAACATTTGCATACAGGTATCATTGTGATAGATAGAAATGCTAAATTTGCAGACATGAGATATAATTGGAAGTCATTCATTAATAGTTGAAGCAAGTGAGAGGAGGAGTTCTTAAAAGTAGTGTAATGAGGAAAGAACCATAGATTTTGAACTGAAGTATGAAAGAGAATATTCCTAATTAGGTAGCAAATTTAGTCAAATAAAGGCAATGCGAAATGTTTGTCTTAGTTTTAACATAACATAGGTAACTCTTCAGAAACTACTTAAAAACTTTTGGAAACTGAATTAGTAAACTTTCATTTTATCTTTCCTTTCCTTTTGGTATTTTCTCTTCCAATCTGAGCTATAGAAGCATGAGTCCCAGTTCATGTACAGTCTTTATCGATTTTTTAGAATCACAGATTAGTCAAAGGTTAGAGCAGAAAGAAACCTTGGAGACCATCTGGTTAAGTGGTTTTTATATTATGTTTTCAAACAACAAAATGTTTTCTGACCAAAAAAAAAAAAATCCCAACATAGAAACATTTTTAAAAGTAGATAAAAGTAAGGCTGTCTTTATTGGAGGTGATGAAAGGCTTTGCCATTTATTACATCACTTCAGTTAGGTTCATCTAGCCCTTTATGGTAGACTCTGAGGAAAACCTCAAGCTCTAAAGGACAGCTTTAGAAAACTATGCTTAATATTTTCATTTACAGAAAAAAAAATTGCTCAAAGACGTATCATGATACTTAATTTTAGAATAAATATTCTGCCTTCTGGAAGGCTTGCCTGCACTATATAAAGAATCGTTCTTCACTAATGTTACTTAAAAGTTATTACCAGGTGCATTTTTTCAGAAACTGTACTGATTAATGAACATCAGGTTTCTTGTTGGTGTATCCCTTGAAAACATGGGCTAAGGAAGAATGCGATCATTCCTTCAACCTTCTCTGGACTGGTAGCACATGTCCCTTTGATAAAACCCTGTCTTTTCTGCCAAAGACAAATCTTATTTCTAAAAAACAGTTTTTACTTACAGGAGAAAAGGGGGAAAATCAGGAATCCAATGTTGAGGGGATGAAAGTTAAAATGATTTTTTAATTTTTAAAACAGGTAGTAATGACAAAAATAATAAAAATAACCATAGTAGCCCTTTTAAGCTTATTTTCCCTGGAATAAAATGCACTGCATCAGGAAGGGGCCTACTCACCTCAGAGAGCAAATTAAGCCTCATTTTACCTTCTTGACACTTCTTATATTTAGAATTTTACCTTAATAAGATATAGAAATTTATTTCCAATAAAATGAATTTGGAAAAGTTAATTTATCTTGATGTTTCCAGAATGGAACAAATATTTTAGTGTTTTTATATATGGTAAAGAGATTACTTGACCACTTAGTCTTATACTTCTTTGGTTATTAACACTTATTTTGGTATTATTCTGTCAGACACTTTGCAAGGGACAGGGATGTAAGGAGAAGATTCCATTGACCCCACTCTTGAGGAGTCCACACTAACGTGAAGGAAACAAATCACTGCTATGTGGTATGATAATTTGATAATACAAAATCAGTACAAAGGGAAACAAAGTAATGATGCTTTTCTATGAAATAAGATGATACTTTAAGTAAATTCTGAAAAATGAATAAAAATTTAATGAAAGAGAGTTTGTGGTCAACCTTGAAAGTGAACTATGAGGGAGGGTATATACCTCACTCATTCATCTGATTTGGAAAATAATGGCTTACTTGGTAAGGGATTATTTCATAAAGCTGTGGTTGATAGCAGTACTCCTTGGCCAAAACAAAAAGTAAATCTGGTTATACAGAAAAAGGAAAAAAGGTCAGTAAACAAAAGAATCATTTCCAAACAGGGCACCAAATTCTGAGTATAGAGATGGAGATCGGGAAATTGATTGAATGAGAGCTGAAATCACTGAGTGAACAGAAAAAGTTGGAAAATACTTACTGAGAACAAAATACTTGGAACAGGCATTGATTTACATAGTTAGATTTTATCTTTTCATAAAACTCTGATAATGTAAGAAGCTGTTCAACTTCTTTTTCTATGCATACTTCATATTCCAAGAATAGTTTCTAATGAAGTTTAATAATACTAGAGAGAGAATGAAAATACTTATTTTTATTATTTTTGTTCACATTGAAATAGAAGCTAACAGGTAAGCTTCTCAAGTCCTTTGTGAGAAAAAGTCCAAGTAAACATCACCGATGGAAACAGCCTCAATTCTGTAATCAGCATGACTTTATAGGCGTGTGACTAGTTTTTGTTTTTTTTTTAAGTAAGAACATTTTTTTAAATTCTGAAGCTGTAGATTATGTGCACATCAACTACTATAGTTTCTAAACCATAGCAAGTGTTAAAAAGCTTTCTCTTTGCTGTTTATATGTTGCTGCAGTAGCTAATTTCAGAAGAGGAGTGTGCAGTTAAATTTGATGAAGCACACTGCATCTGCTCAATTCCATTGAGTCTAATGGTCCTGCCAAAAGGCTGCATTAGCATTATAAGACAATGTTCTCCAGGCTCAAATAGATGTAGGACAGGCCTCATAATAGAGATTCTTGCGTCACCGAAATCTAGCAAGAACGTGCCTGAAAGGCTGTAGCACAGAGAAATAACTGGATTCAGTCATATATATATAATCTCCTCAGAGGTTTTACAGGGAGCAAGTTTGTCTTGAATTCTTATGAAAACAAAACACCAAAAATTACTGATACTAGGATGTTGATTTCTTTCTGAATCAAACTGAAGTTCTTGAGGATTGCAAGAAAGGTGACAGCCATTCAGTGCTTGTTATGAGGATATTTAATAAATTTGGGATTAAATTAGATTAAATTGACATAGTAGTGGTATTCCGGGATGCAGATTTCTTTGGAAATCTGATGAAAACTGGAAATCCTCTACCAGAAAGAATGTACAACCAAATATATACATTAAATTTAGCATATATTTTCAGGGGGTTCAACTGTTTCCTAAAGGGTATTTTTGGACTTCAAGTTAAAAAAAAATTTCTGTAACTGAGAAATATTAGGAATATTTGGTCCATGGATTTCTAAGAACAGAAATAAAGAGCACAAATTATTTTACATGGATCAGGTGATGACGTTTCATTCTTTGAATGAATTTACCATGGCAGGCTTCTTCTAAAGGAGATCTCCCTTGACATAACCTCTATACATTGTCTTTTATCCCACTGTGCCCCTAGCAACACCCAGTCATTCTTTATCATATAGTTTTTTATTTTTTCACAGCAATTAATAAAACTAAAACTTATTTTTTATTGATTTTTTTTCGTTGCAGCCCATCCCATTAGAATGTAAGCACATGAACAACTTATTTGTCTGTTGACAGCTATATCCCTACCATTTAGAATGCTGTCTGGGAATACATAATGCAGTAGTATCTGGTTGTAAAGTTGGCTAACTACCCACTGGCAATATATATGAATTCCTGTTAAGTCGAGAATGATAATGACGAACAGCTGGCTGGAAATGCATTACTGCAGCATGATAAGCTTCCATAACATACTTAAATGGCCAATGTTTCTTTTTTTTCATCTCATTTCTTGCTCCATTTAATTTTTTTGTCACAAAATATTAATTTTCTTAAAACGCCCATTTATATGCAATTGTTTCCAAGTCCGAATTGTGGTAGAGAATATATCTTATGGCACTAGTTTTGTCATGTATAAAAAACAGCTGCAAGCTCTTTCAGGCATAATATAACCTTGATAGGGATGAAACATGAAACTGAACTGTGTATACATGTGTGGTTTGATAGCAAACTTTTCAGGGCACCGAAATATTCTTGAGAACTTTTCCATGTTCACCATATCACTTCATGTCTTTAACTAGGAATACATGTGTTTAAATTATATTTTAATATTGTCACAGATATAAAATATAAAAGTTATTGTATCCTCTTAGCAAGGTACCACAACTTTGTTCCTGTCTTATATGTCACTTTTAAGTCATGTTTAATAATAATTTATAGCTGTAAAACCTATGTGGCACTTGATAAACTGAGCTTCAAAGGAAGTAATTTTTATGCCAACCAGTTTGACATTTGGGAGACAAGGCAGACTCCAAACAGGATTAAAATTCCACTAAACCTGATGGAATAGATCAACCAAAAGAGAAAAACTGCATAACATAATTTTAAGATGTAAGTCAGATAAATCAGCTTGGTAAAATCAGATGAGGGAAGCATTTTTTCTTGATTGGCTAAATAGTAGAGCAAATAGCTTTCTATTCTTTATTCAAGAGATTTTCAAGATTCACATTCATCATTTCTTAGAAAGATAAGGAAAGAAATGTTCATGATGTTGTTTTTCTTCCATAAGTTAATGCTGTCATTATTTTACTTTCTAGTATAAATCCAACAATTCAAAAGAACAGATTTTGTTAAGTCCCAGGCTTTCTCTGAAGCCACTAATGATGGCAAAATTTTAGCTAATAGTTTTATGCTAAGTTTAGTTAACTTTTAGAATGAGAAATGATTCTATAATCCTGCTTTCAACATGCGTACTCCTTGCTGAACTGAATGATATTTATGACTCCTGGCCTTTTTATAAATAACTGTTTAACGCTATAAGCATTAATTAATGAAGGGTTTGTTTCATCCCATAGCATCCACATATAATTCATGCTTCCTGCCTAGAACACTAGGTAGACTATTTCGTAGTAGCTCAGAACATTCTACTTATCATCTGATGATGGAGAAAGTAAAGTACACTTTGTCCTGTATGTCCTTTTTTTTTTTTTTTAGCTCATAAACAACAGAAATGTATTTTGCAGTTCTAGAGGCTGAGAAGTACCAGCTCAAGGTGCCAGTAATTTCTGTGTCTGCAAGGGCCCTTTTTCAGCTTCATAGATGATTCCTTCTTGCTGTGTCTTCAAATGAGTATCCATCCTTTGATCATGTCATGGGAACTTTATCACACAGAGTACAATAAAAAATATAACTACTCCATCAAGTCAACAAGATGACATTTTTTATTCTGTTTTCCAAAGTATCGTATTTCTATAAAGCTAGGCTTTTATATGCTCTGTAATGGCTGAAGTGATCAGATAAGTGTTTAAATTTTTTTCTGTAAATTATTCTTTAAGGAGAATAACATTATAGGACTATTACATGTAAAACTTACCTTAATAGGGAAATAATTGGTTTTAGTTTGAAAGGAATGTAAGCATAATTTTATATATAGTTACATTTTAAAAATAATTTTGCTGGTTGAAAAATTCATACATCTAAATTTGGAAATGATTTTAAGATACAAAAACTTGTTTCTTACTAAGAATAAGAAACAATAAGAAATTAGCATTTTCTGAAGATAAGATTTCGTCAGAGAGAATACTATGACTACAAAGGTGAAATGACTCCATGTGTATGGAGACAGGAATCAGAGATTCTGAGTTTGTGATGAACCTTAACTAATCATAATTCTATTTATATAACACATCTGCCGTTATTTTTTCTTTTATCTCTACATATTGGAAACATAGTGAAATACTACCATTTTCTGAAGTTGTAGATATAAGTTCAGGTGCAAGTAATAAGCATTGTGATTCAAGCGCCACAAATAACACACAAACACAATCAGACCATGAACATGTTATTATTTGAGTGATATGAAAGCTTGTTACTGATCTGGTTAATTCAGAAAATATCAGTTACATAGTTCAGTTAGGATTAAGACTTCTTAGCTTGGATTTCTCCAATGTTTTGATTATGTGCGTGATTTAAAAATACTTATTATTTCCCTCAGAAGATTTATTTGTTGGAGATTAAAAAAACACTGAATAGAGTAAGTTCTTATTTATTTCAGGCACAAAACTCATAATAATTTATTATGAAAAATGCTTTTAATCTGTGAATGTTCAATGATTATCACATTTTTAAACTTATGTTACCCCACTTCTAGTGACAATAATCAAATTTGTGCTTGCTCTAGAAGCACATACACTACAAAGTGGAAATGGTGATAAAATCTCACTTAGAAAACAATAAAGTGCTTTGCAAGCTTCATACCTCATGAATAAGCTGCGATCACCCAAATTTTGAATGTATATGGTGCCATATAACATCATTTAAAAAAAAACAAATAATGAAGATCCAGACATCTATTGGAGGCTGTCTACTCAAAAATTCATTCATTTTGAAAATTAAAGTGACTTTTTTTCCTCATACAAACTCAATATATGGAACATAGACTGATTATTTTTGTTGTGTGTGTACAATGACAAGTGAATCTCCTAAATTTTCCAACTCCCAATAGCAAACTAAAGCTTATGTAAACTTGTAAAAAAAAGAATAAAATATTGCAAAAGGACCCAGAATAGTCATTAAATCATGCTAAGTTTTTGTAACCAAAAAAAGAAACCTTTGTTAAACCTTGACAGTTTCAAGATTGGGTTATTTAATTCTACAATTTCGACAGTGAGATATTTGAGGATGATGCTTTACTTCTAACATTTGAAATAAATTACATTAAAATATTAGAATTTCTTTACATGATGCTTTACCTAAATTATTACATCCTTATCTTTCAAAGAACATAGTGGTAGTATGTATGTGTGAAACTAATCATTTAAAATAATTTGTTATATTATTTATTATAGAATATACTTTTTAAATCGTTAGTTTCCATATATGTTTATAGAGTTATTAACATAAGTATTAGTAAATGTCCTTTCTTTGGGTTACATTATTTTTCCTCATACAGTGAATCAAGGTAGCAAAGGGTTGCTTTTCCATTTTGTTTTCTGAGTTGATTATTTAAACTTTTGAAATCACAAAGACAACTCCCAGATCTCCCCATCATTTTCTTTTGCACAAATCTTGCCAATAACTCCTGAGGGCTCATAATGTAAATCTAGAGGACATTACAGAAATTTTCTTTTCTTAGAGTTTTCAAATGTGCTTATGTACTTTTCAGGGTTCTAATATAAGGAATTTCATTATTGCAAGTTGTATGTAAAATATAAATTAAATACTTGTACATTTAACTATGAAGAGCAAAATTTGTTTAGTGCGTGTAATGTATGAGTAGAGTCAACTCAAATCCAATATTTAGAATCCAGCTGCATCTTGTTTGAGAAACTGTATGTGTTGCATTCAGTGGAGTAAACAGAGTAACTCAGGTGTACGAAATTAGGTTTTGCCTTCAATGTCAGTGGCCCAATAAACGTGGAGTAAAATAAAGACACTATGTAAGGTATCTGGTTTGGTTTTCATTTTAGGTCATAATGCTTACGTAAAGGGGTAAGCCAAGAAAATTCTTCTTGACCACACTTGAAAATGGACTCATTTACTGAGATTAAATTTCAGTGTATTTTATAAAAAATATTACTTTCACAGAAGTGAAGAGATACAATAGCACAATGGTGGTTACAATGGTAGAAATACATACTGCCATTAAATTGTTAGCAAGAGATTTAAAAATGACTGTACAGCACCGCATCAGAGAATTGTGTTAACAGCAAAATGATTAATGTTATTTTTCAATATAAATGAAATCCTTACTTTTTTAAAAGAAATATATGGGGTAAAAGTGCTTTTTGTTCTTCTAATTCCTACCAAAATATTTCCTGATGTGGAGCAAAAGACAGAAAAAAATGACAGTTGAAAAAAAGACATTCATGCATTTAAGCCGCCATTAGTCTCTGACTCTAATATAAGGCAGATCATTAATCTCTTGCAAAACTATGACTTTAGCCACTTAAACTCTTTTTTTAGTGCTTTATATGACAAGGACATGATAAGCCTTGCAGATTTAGAAGTTAAGATGTGTTTCCAACATGGTAAGTTAGACAAGCTCAGCTAGTTTTTGAAACACCAACTTTACAATAAAAAATGCTTTGCTTTGGAGAAATGATGAAAAATAATAATAAAGAAAAAGACAGAAGGGGTCCTATAGAGTTTATCACAAATTACACTGTTTAGATCAATGAAAACATTTGCCTATGTGTCATCCTCTGTCTTGATGATATGGAAAAGGGTGACATTGAACAGGACCTGGTGGCCGTTGTTCCAGGCATAAAGAGCTCGATCTCTTGCATTGTAGTCAAGCATGGATATGTGAAAGTATTGGTTATGGAAGGGAATGTCTGTGTACTCATATGTGGAGGTTTTGGTGGAATAGGAATAATACACCTTGGCTCCAGTTAAGTGGGAGTTGGTGACATACAGTGTCCCACAGATCATGAAAGATTCCCCTGCACTTCTCTTGGGGTAGCCAGTGCTCCAGCTCTTCATCACCTCCAAGGTATCTTGGTTAAGTTGGCTGATGACAATATTACCTGCATTCTGGTTAGTTGCATACACAGCCCACAGCCCGATTTCATCAGCCATTAGGTCGATGTCAGAGAATCCACCCCAGGTGTAGGGGTAAACATTATGAAAACCAGCATACTCCAGGCTTCGTTGGGCAAGCACTCTCCCCATATCAAAGCTGTATTTGATGATGATATTACTCTGATACTTGTTAAAATAGAGTGAGCCATTGTAGACAACATGGTTAGTTCCTGCCCACTTGAAAGGAAGGTTGTATGTCCTTGATTCAGCCCCACTGACAAAGTCTGCAATTGATTTGTATTCACGAACAATTTTATTGTTAGTATAACTGTCCATGTACCAGACCTGAGAAGAAGGAAAAAAATAAATGGAGTGACTAAATTCTGTACTTTTCTGATAATTCCAAAAGAAAGACAGTGAGAGTAAGCACATATTAATATTATAATTCTCAGGCTCTGGAAGCCACATTTTCTTATTGCTGACCTGCTGCAATGTGAGTATTTCAGGTTTTGTAAAAATATTGCTATGGTCTATTGATGTGGAAAAGAAATAACTGAATTCACTGTCTTGACATTAGTTTGCCTTTTGCTTTTTCTTGCTCTGTTTTTTAAATTCCTGACCATTTGGTGCATATCACTGAGTGAATCAAACATATGTCAATGCAAATTACAACGCCTGATAAATCCATGCAATCAGTGAAAACTACGGCAAATATAACCTTGGCAAATTACATTTATTCTATCTTTGGCTCTGAAAAAAGGGTATAGTCTAATTTTGCATATTCAATTGAAATAAGTACCATAGAATCTTCTAGAAACACTTGTTTATTGGGCTAGCTTGTAAGTACAACTGTATTTTAATGAAACCATTTTACTAACTTAATAACTAACCTCATTTGGATGGAACCCTTGAGAATCTTAATTTATACTGAGTTCTGCAATAGGATATAAATAGAACTATCGCAAGTTTTTAGTATATTGATTTACATAGTACAGGCATTGCCAACTTATGAAAATACCCCCAAAAGTTTCAGTGCTATATCTTTTAATATTACCTCTAGACTCCAGGGATATTTAAGCTTATTTAGCAAATTTGTTTTGCCCTTGAGTTTTTCACTTATTTAGTGCTATTGTTTTTTCACACTAAAGAACATATTTTAGAAAGAGTATAGAGGGAACTTTGTATGATTGTAATTAGCCCTTTCAAGCATAAAACATGACTAACATCAATAAAAAATAGATTCACTAAACTGATGAGCCGGAGGATGGAATATTTTACTGAGATAGATTTGCCATTCTTTCTTAAGTATGTTAATATTATAAAACAGAAAATATTTGCAAATTATGTAACAGTTTTCAAGTACAAACAAATACCCCTGAAGAAAATGAATAGTCCAGAAGAGACAAAGTGTAAACAGAACTTAATTCTAAGCAAAGGTGTTTGTGGGAGAAACATACTCTGTTGTTTTTTTCAGATGCTAAAGGATCTGTCATCCAAGCACCAAATCGGGTTCCAGATGTCTTGACCGTAATTGGTCCCGTGATTTTCATCAGCTTGCCACATGCTAAAATTAGAGAAACACAAACATGTTAAGTGAACACAGGCAATGACTCTAATACACATACTCACACTAAGAGCAAAGAAGGGGATCATAAAACTAAGTCAATCCATGGGACTAACATAACATTTCTGAATGAATGATTATTCATAGTTCAAAGTCCTGGGCCTTTAACCAAACTTTGAACCATCAGGAGTTGCTTTATCAATGCTCCAAATTTTGAACATAAATTTTTAAAATGGGAAATGATTTGTACACTCTGAAAAGAAATAAATGAGGAACAACATTATTGTTACACCGATTCAGGGCTGCTTCTCTTAAGTAAAAAGTTAGGCAAGTGAAGCAAATTGCCCATACACCAGTTTACCTGATGGCCAGAAACTCCTGTCCTTCCCTGCCCCCATGCTTTGTGACTATGGATAACTTATACAAGCCAGAAAAAAACAATTCCAACTGATTTTCAATCTGTATTGGCAAAGAAGCAGCCTCCAAGAAAGATATCTTTACAGGCTATCAATAAAAAATTCCGCCCGTCACAGTGGCTCACACCTGTAATTCCAGCACTTTGGGAGGCTATGATCATGAGGTTAAGAGATCAAAACCATACTGGCCAACATGATGGAACCTTGTCTCTACTAAAAATACAAAAATTAGCTGGGTGTGGTGGCATGAGCCCATAGTTACAACTACTTGGGAAATTGAGGCAGGAAAATCACTTGAACCTGGGGGACGGAGGTTGCAGTGAGCCGAGATCGCACCATTGCACTCGAGCCTGGGCAACAGAGCAAGACCCTGTCTCAATAAATAAATAAATAAATAAACAAAAATTTAAAAATCAGTCACAGTCTATCAGAAAGAGGTAGAGTTTTGAAAGATAAATGCCTTATATAGATAACAGGTCTGATAGGGCAGATATGAACACACACAGAACAAAATCCCAAAAACTCAGATCCTCAGACCCCAAAGTCACATGCAGATGAAAGATGAAGAGATGTAATACATGACAAAAATTTAATGACTTTCATGACAAATGTTGTAATATTTTATCAGCCCACCTACAAATAAGATCTTAGAAATAACTTGGACTTCATAAATGCGAAAAGCAAAACCAAACAGAAAGCTAGGCATTTTTGTGAGATTTTAAGGAAGATTACCATAAAGTTTTAACTATATTTTAAAATATTGTTCTTGTCCCTTGATCTGGATTATATTAGTTTGGGTGCTTATCTTTCTTTTCATCTTAAATTCAAGTTTTATTTTAGATGGAGGGGTACATGTGCAGGTTTGTTACATGGGTATACTGCACACAGGTAGTTAAGAATGGCACCTAATATACAGTTTTATGAGATTTTTAAACAGCAAAATTTAAAAGTGATTTATTATACACATTGCAAAAGGCAATATGGCTGCTTATAGATGTTGGGCTTTGGTCTAAACAAAAGTCTTCTTTCTCGTCCATTTATACCATGTTATCTTCTTCTATTTCTTTATTTTCTTAAAACTTTTTTGGGTCCTATTTGCTCTACATATCTTCTTTCCTCCTCTGCCCATTGATAAATGGCAGAGGATAAATTTCTGTTAATTCCTGTTTGTTCTTGTTTGTTTGGAGGGAAAAGAACACATACCCAAAGCAAATCAAAGACAAACTAATTCTAACTTGGAGCTTATTTTGGCTCAGTTTTCTCGATATATGCTTCTTATAAGCATATCTTGCACTAACATTATATCTTGCACTATTAGTTCAGTGATAACTACAAATTTAGTAATCTCTAACATTTCATAAAACCTGAATTGAATATATTTTTCCCCTTTTGTAAAAGAAATCAAATGTGATGGCATTGTTATATCCACCAAGTGAGTTACTTTATGATTTCCTCAAATCTGAAAAAGGCTTTATGGCATTATCTGTTTTGAATAGCAAGACCTTGCATTAAGCCTATTTGGAATATGTAAGCTCTAATTGCTATAAACACATAAACAATATATGAGTAAATTAGTATCAATTTGAAGTAGAAAACGTTAATCATATTCTGAATGGTCTAGTCGAGTATATTCTCTGAATGCAGAATAAGTGAAAGTAATATTATTTTTAATAATGTCCTATATAAATATTTTTTAATCAGCAGGTGATATGAGCATAACAATTTCAAGTGTAAGTAGAGTATAACAAATAAAAGGGCATTTCTTTCCCCTAAAAAGCATCATAAAACATGTGATATATTTTTCTAAGCATGGGAAAGTAATTCCGACTTAAGATGATAGACTGATACGTAATTTTATCTCCTTTCATTTTCTATGATCTCATTAAAATAATAGTACAGGAGTAAACCATGAGGGGAAACAACCGAAAGAAAAAAGCGAAGTGAAGGTACAAGAGCCATTGGTGGAGAAGTTTTAACCAATTTTCCAGAAAGCAGGGCTGGTGAAGAGTGGTCATTAAAGATGAAGATGGAGTAAGATGCATCTGTGTCTATACAGAGCAAGTGAGACCTGAGGAGGGAGATGATCTGCCTTGAAGAGGAGAAAGAGAGGACTCAGAAACATAAGGAGGAAGAAAGCTAGGAGTGAGACAGGACTCTGGAAACAGGTACACCACTTAAACCATGCCTTACGAGCAATTGATTCCATCTTTATCTGTAGATGCAGGACTCCAGAAGGCAAAGAAAAACCAACTATGAAACCTATTAAGCCTATGTGGAATATATAAGCTCTCAGATCACTAATACACTGTATTATTTGTATACTAAAAAGAAGTAACTCAGAGAATAGACAAGATACTAGTACCTTCTACGAGATTTGTAAAATATATGCTGTACACTGTGAAAGGAAAACACAAAAGAGCCACTAGAGTTAGAAAACAAAAATATAATTATATTAAAAAGTAGATTGAAAGATAAAAAGAGTTATCCCCCAAAATAAAGCAAAAAAGATAAAAAAGAAAAGAGAAAAAATATGGAGGCATCTAGGTTGTATCCAGAAGCTCTAACATCCGGAGAGAAAGGTTTCTAAGATGAGAGGAGAGAGAAAACAAGGGGAGAATATTATCAAAGAAATTATACAGCGAATCTTCCCAGTAACAAAACCTCAATATTCAGATTAAAAGAACACATAATAATTACTGAAAAAAGATCTACTTAAAAAAAACTACTCTGAAATGTTAGAAGATGAATAATAAACTGAAATGGAAATTTTTAGAGAAAGAATATGAGCTTGTCCATGCAAACTGATATAATTAGTCCAGAATTGGGCTTCTTATCACCAATACTGGATGCAAGAGGAAAATGATGAGGGCCTTTACACTTAGGAAGAAAATCAGAGAAAAACAGAATAAAGATATTTTTTGACATGTGAACTTCCCAAAAATTTACCTACAATGAACACTTTCTTCAGAAGTTACTTGAGGATATATTGCAGTGAGTACCTCAAGACAGGGGAAGACACAAGACAGGAAAATAGTGGTTTCCTGTCCCAGAATGACAACTCTGCAGCTTGTCTTGAGAAAATCAGCCCAGAATGGACACACAGTTACAAGAGGGAGGTCTCAGAAATAAGTGGAATTGACACACAGATAGACTATATGGGATCCTCTAGAAAAACTGGGTATGGCAAAGGCAATTATTGATGTATACAAAATAATTCACTGAATTTAACTTAGTAATAGTCTTCTTTGAATGGAACAAATATGACATTGGACTTAAAGAGGAAGGAAATGTGTCTAAGTCTACCACTTAGTGCCTAAAGAACAATATTAACTTTGCTATAATAATGTAAACACTCATGTCTAACTTGTAGAATCAGCCCATAAACTAATTACATAAGGCTTGTCAGGCAGCTCATCTGCTCTGTGATTATAGAAAAGCCAAAATGTTTCTGACCGTGACAACATGGAGAATAGGTAAAGTCCACGTTGTTAGGGAATTAAACACTGGGAGAGGAAATGGAAAAAACGATGGGGGTGTAATTGTCTTCATATTTTTAAAATATGGTGGTAAGAGATTTTCCTATTGTTGAAAAATAATGAATATTTAAATTTAAGACTTGAAATTACAAATTTTATAGGGTCGAACTGTGAATAGTTATGAAATCATATAGGAGGAAACATGAAAGAAAGTGGAGTTGGCAAAGTTATCGAAATCCTCATCTTGCAGAGCAGGAAGCCAATAAACAATGTCTAAAACTGTAAACCAAAATAATTGAATAAAAAGCATGTTATTAGAAATATAGATATAATCACTGATAGCCCTAAAATTAAACTGTTAAATATGGTTAAATCTGGGGAGCAGAGCTGAAGAAGAAGACTGGTGCTTTTTATTCTAAGCATGTAATTTTCCAGCTATGTGCATACAATATTTAGGTTATAATGGAAAAAGTTAAAATAGCTACAAAAATTCAGTAGCCTTTAATTTTATAAAGAAAAAATCACATTTATATATTGCCTTTTGAAAAATAATTTCCAGGTTTTATATGCCATGCTTCTCTGGGGCCAGGAAGTAGTTGAAATTGGAAGAGGTAAACAGTTTTCAGAAATGGAAGCTGTGAATACCCTGCATTTTAATTTGGTCTTTATCCTGTAAGGACTAGATTAAAACTGTGTTCTTTAAACTTTTAGCTCTGTCTTACAATTGACATGGCAATTTCTTGTTCTTCAAATCTTTCAACCTTAAAAAATTAGAATTTATATTATGAATTAAGTTGTTTATCACAATATAACAAAGCTAATAAATTTACAGTGGCTAGTAAATGTGCAGGAGCTCTAATAAAATATGCTATACGTATGATTCAAATAGGAAAGATGTATATTTCAAAGTAATTAAATGATAACAATCTTGGAAAATGTATATTCCTGTTGAAGATTTGCTAAAGGAGAAAAAGTCTAAAACTTGAAAATATTTCAAAAATGTGAATAATTTTATGATTATTTGAAAAAAATATATACAGGATTTTAGAAGTCAGTTGAGTTTAATTTTGTTCTGCATACAGATTAATATGTCTCAAATATGAAACAT